CTTTTTTTGAAAAATGCCTAGATGGGGTCCTGGTACTGCAGGCTGATAGTTCCTGGTACTGCAGGCTGATAGTTCCTGGTACTGCAGGCTGATAGTTCCTGGTAGTGCAGGCTGAGGCTGATAGGGCTAGTGGATAACTCAGTTTCTGGCACGGTTTGGTGAAGAGGCCCGAAAAGCCTGCCGAGTTCTGTTCAAGGTACAGGACCATACTTGCAAGCGGACGCCGTCCGGGCGGTTCCGCACGTGTGGCAGACCGCCACCGGACCCGCGCGGCGCACGAATGTGCACCCGACGACCAGTTACGCCCCAACCCCCCCCCCAAAAAAACAAAACGGCCCCGTCCAGTCTGGTCCAGGTCCGTCTGGTCTGGGGGGAGGGTGCCGCACGCGGCAAAGCGGACCGGACCGGAGGCTCGTCCGGTCCGTCTGCTTGCAAGTATGTGCAGGACACATGGAGCATGAACATTTGATTATAAGGGATGCTGGACCCGTTTTCCAGCAGGTGCAGCTCCCCACGAATAGACTGGAGCCTGTTAATTATGTGAGGAACAAGCCCTCAAGGGGCTCTATCAGACAACACATGTTCTGGGCTAAGGCCCCCAGCAAGCCGCGTGCCCGCCCTAAGTGATGGCGGGCCTGAATATTCGTCAGAGGCCAAAATTAGACATTTCCATATGCGGGTATTCAGGACGCGTGAGCCTCACTAAGCTGCGTCATACAGTTGGCCCAGGCCTTGACCGTTGCGCCTGGGCACATACACACAAAGCAGGGCCGATGAATTGGGAAGAAGCAGGCCATCCGACTTTTTTGGAAAAGCAGTACTGCCGACGCACCTGCCTTGGAGCCCTGCATAGATGCAGCAAACAGCCCAAGTCTGGAGACTCAGGCCGTGCCCAACTGAAAAGGGCCCAGGCCCTCAACTGTAGTCTTGGGCCTGGGTGCAGGGTCTGAGGCCCAACCGGAATCTACTGGAAGCTTCCAGCCAGGCCACACGCAGCATCCAGGAGGCTGCCACTTCCATAAAAGAAGTGACCCAGAGGCAGCCCAGGCCAGGCATTCTGGCCAGTGCAGGCTATGCGGAAGTGCTGCTGCGCTCTCGCTTGATGCTGCGCTGCTGCCAAAGGCGCTGACGGCGCGCGTAGTGGTGAGGTGGGGCGCTGCTGGGCAGCGGGGGGCAGGCAGCCATAGCCGGCCTTCTGGGCGCGAGGGGGTAGGAGGGCGATCAGGTGGTCTTCAGGGAAGGAGGCGAGTGTGGGTAATCAAGGTCTGATTGAGGGTGACGAGATACGTACCTGGTGCATGAAGAGAGGTCGGCTATGGTGTTGACAGTCGTGTACATTGGTCTTCGAGAGTCGAAGTGAGCTTGCGTGAACCAGCTGTAGGTAGGATAGTCGGGTAGAGGAGGCTGGGCACTGGGCACCAGACAGAGAGGAGCGACTTTGGATACTGTGTTGGTGTGGCCTACAGGCTTAAAAATTGGCTCATTACTTCATTGTATTGCTCTACATGGATGGTTTCTCGGTGCATTTTGTACTCTATGCTTGAATGCGACTACCTGGACATCTGTGTGCTGTCGCAATGTGGTTTCCACAGTCACACTCATATTCCTTGCAATTAAAAAAAAAAAACAGTTGGGGGGTAA